TTTATTTTGTCCATTGACTCTAATTCTTAATTACTAAGAATCGATGGACTATCTTGAATATAAATAAAAATCAATTTAACAAAAAATTTTGAAAAGTAAATTAAATCCTTGTTAAAAATATTCAGAAGGTTCGCCAATAACTTCATAAAGAATTTTCTTTCGTTTGATTCCATCCAGTAATGTTCGGTCATGAATCACTTTTTCATCATCATCCGGAAGAGTTTTTCGAAGTTGTTCAATACATTTTTCCATTGATTCAATAGCTTCATCGAATCTTTCTGTATCTGCATAAACCAATGCTATATTTGATAAAAGCGTACTGATTAAAGTATCATCATCGGATAAGCACTCTGGTGCTAAGGAAAGACCTTGAGAATAATGATTCAATGCAAATAAATATTGTTTTTCTTCATAATATGTATAACCAATATTATTGTGAAGCAACACAAAAGTATCATGCTTTTCTGGTAAAAATTCTCTAGCGTAATCGTATGAGTATTTATAATAAATCATGGCATCGCGATATTTCTCTGTTTTCAAATAAATACTTGCGATAACAAAATGTACTGTATAAAGTTCTCTGGGATCATTTGGTTGAATAGATTGTGAAACTTCGATGATTTTTTTGTAATAAATAATAGCATCATCATATTTGTCTTTGGAATAATAATTATCACCTAAAGTCACATAAATTGAAATCAACTCTGTATGATGTGTTTCACCGGATTGTTTAAGAATTTTCTCGGCACGACCCAAAGCTTGAATAGCATTTTGATCATTTTCTTGTTTAAAATAGAACACACCTAATTTATAACAACAGAAAGCTGCAGCAATTAAATTAGGAATATATGAACGAAGTTGAGTATCAAGTGCTTGTTGATAATAATCAATAGCTGATTGATATTCACCCAGACGATAAAATGATTCACCAAGATCACGATAAGCTTGATGTAAATCTGGACTATGTGCTGGCAAGAATCGATGATAAGCTTTTAAACAAAGAAGAAATAATTCACTTGCACGTTTGAAACTTTCTCTTTGATAATGAATCAATGCTAGATAGTCTAAAGATAGTGATAAGGACTTCTGTCGTTTCGTATCATTGATAAGAAGATCTTCATCGACAAGCTTTGAAAAGAATTGTTCAGCAAACGATAGTTGATTAGCTTTCAATAATAATCTTGCTAATCGAAATAATGGAGAAGAATTATCAATTTCTTTGCGTGCTTCTTGCATTTCTGTTTGAATATTCATTTCATCTGCATATGAAACGAATTCTAAATGAATTAGAACACAACCTTTTTCTTGATAATCTTTTTCAATGCCAATAATTTTTGTCGCAATACCAGCATTAATAAATATATCGATTCCATCATTATCATTGTTCGACGATGAAAGTCGAGTAAGACATTTCGCTGCTGATGGAAAATCAATATGAATAAGAAGATTCAAATATTCTTCACTAGAACGTGAAAGTTTTTCTGCTCTTGCAATTGCTTGTGATTGATCCGTTGAAGCAAATAATAGTTGATGAAATGTTACTAAATTTTCATTTATTTTGAATGCTTCAATTGGATCGATTTCTGATTGTTCAATAGTATTTCCTAAGTAAACACTAATTGGTTCCATTATAGTTTTATTTTCAAGTTCGGTTTTTAAATCTTGAATAAAGAGACGAAGTTTAAATAATATATCTACTTCACGAAAAAGAACAGCGTTATGCAACATCTAAATAAATGATTTTATGAAATCGATTTTAGTAAAAAATGAATTTCTTTACTTTTAATAGGAAACATTTTCGAGATAACCATGATATTGCTTGAGTATTTTTATAACTCTTTTCAAATTCTTCAATTTGTGTTAATTCATATTCATTTCCTTCGTATTCTTCACGAGCAAAATGAACTAATTCTTGAAATGCATGTTCAGTTTCATTACGATCAACAAGAATATCGCCGAGTAATTGAAAGAAAACAAATGTCTTGTCAAGTGTAGTTCTATTCGCATAAACTGGTTGAAAAAGTAGTAGATCAGATTTAATTGGATTAACATCATCAGATATCATTTCATAAATATCATCAATCGATGGATAAACACCTCGAACCTGAGTAGAAGAAAATGTTAAATTCTTATCTGGATTTGCCGATAAAATATAAATTGATAAAATATTTAAAATATTTTCAATTCGTGGAAGAAGTGAATCACAAAAGTCATCGGAAAGTATTAAAACAATCCTCTGATTTGGTAAACTATTTATATATGCAATACAATCATCGGTATCATTGAAAATCATGACGATATTTATGAAACGACGAATTTTTTGTACGATCGATGGATCAGGAGATGAAGTATGTAAATATATTAGGTTAACCCATTCAACATTGCCTTTCTCTCGATGAATTATTTTTGATGATGTTTCTGTATTTCCACCAGCTCGAACTAGAAAAAAACAAATTCTGTTATTATTCTCAAAGGATCGAATATTCGTTACACATGGCATTGTATAATAAATTTGCTAAAGTTTCGAAAATATTGTTCGATTGAGAAACATCCTCATTTTGAAATTGTTGTTGAATATTACCTAAAATTGAATCTAGAAAAAAAAATTGTTTATTTTTTTCAAACTTTGTATGTTACTATTTTGATTCATTAAGGCGAAGAAATTGGAGCTAGTCATTTCTGATGATATTGGAGTTGATGGAACAGAATGTTCATTAAACGATATCATTGGTGATAATTGAGGAGGTTCTATATAAAATAACTTGATTTCTTGAAAAATATTTCAATAAGATTTTCGCTTACGGTTCATTTTTTTCGACGAAGAATTAAAGAGAATCTTTTCCTTTTCAAATGATTTAGATCGAGAGAATTCTTGATTATTTCCCGGAGAATTTGGAGAGGGAGAAACCGATTTTTCTAAAATAATTTCATTCTTACTTTCTGATACTTCACTCAATGGTGAAAACTAAATGAATAAAAAAAATAAGATCAAAATAAAATAAAGAGAACATTCATACTGTATCATCTTTTGATTGACATCTAGAAAGAAAAAGATTAAGTATATCCTTCTCAAGTACATTCAATCAATCGTCTTACTTCTGACATGGTTTCGATTTCATAATTTGTTCAATTTGAAATGATTTGTATTGATTATAATGCATCAAACCATATTCACAACAAGAGATCATCTCATTGTCAAGTAAATCATTACGATAAATATATAATTTGTATGTTGATTCGTTTAAATCTCGTCTCGATTTAAATGTAAATGAATCTAAAATTATTGATTTATCGAGAAAACAAATCTATAATTTAAAACTCACCTCCATCTTGTAAACAACCTCTATAGATTATTTCATTATATTGTACTATTTTCAATTCATCAATCTGTTTGACTGAAACTGAATTTCGATAATTCATTCGAACAAAACAATATTCTTCTTCCTAAATTTATAATAATGCATTTCATCATATCGAATCATTACAAACAAAAAGACAGACTTCATTTTCTTCAGTATCACTATCGCTATTTGATTCTGTGTCTGATATCTAGAAAAATATCGATGAAATAAGGATTAATTCAACAAAGAACTTGTACCTGAAATCCACTGATGAGATGATTTAATTTTTCTGGAAGATTTTCATTGCCATTCCTATGTATATTATGAAATAATTAGAAAAAAATATTTCACTTCGATAAAACTTACAATGTATTGATTTGCTCGATTAATTCACATTGTTGATGTCTTTGATCTGAATACATTTTTCTTTGGTGAATATCCGATTAATAACGTCTTTCAATATTTTTCACAAGTGAAATTACTCACTTCCGATACAGTGGTCGTATTTATACGTAGTTTTACCTTTATATGACTCAGAACCAATTACGACAAAAAACGTATGTAAAATGTACAAGACAGAATGAAAAAAAAAGATATATCATGTTTTCGTTTGGTTTTCTCCAGACTGACTCATTAGTATTTCATTTGCAATAATCAATCAAAACAAAATGACTAAAAGAAATGATTTTATCGACATTCAGGAAGTAGCAAAAAAATAGATGAATACGAATGGCTTTCATGTAAGAAATTTCCATAATATTGCTAATACGATCAAAATGTGAATAATGACTCAGGGCGTGGGTGGGGGTATGGCTTGGATGCAGTTAGAAAAAGCATGATACTCACACCAACGCTCATACCTCCATTTCAGGTAGTTATAGGAAGAGGAGAAATCTATACCCACACCCTCAAGATGGTTGTAAAATGATTAACTATTGATATAGAAACTATTAAATTCTAATTAAAATCATTTAAGATTTAATCAATCGTATTAGATTCTATTGAATTATTTCAAATCTTAGTAGATGAAAATGGTTTCATATGAATTATTATATTTATTCTTATGAAAATTTAAGAAAAAAAATTGAATTATATATTTATATAGGATAAAAACTAAGAGATAAATTGTTCATAATTTCAAGATTTACATTCTTGTCTGATAAATTTATATTCAAAAAGTTAATCAATAAAAATACCAGGAGACAGTATGGAGTCTTATATGAATTTATATAATTTATTGTTAATTTTTTAATTTCATTAGAGATGATTTGAATGCAGAAAAATTATAAATGTGATAAATAACGACTTAACCGTGAGTTTCTAAAACAAAATAAAGCATATTCATCAGTTCTCCAACTTTGAGAACATCAAACTATGACTATCATATTACTGAAAAACACTTTTATGTTGTATAACTAGCCATTTATATCAATCTCTCTGTGAAGTAGTGATGAATGAATCTGAAATACTTATCTCGTATCATTTGAAATAATTTTTCGATTTTCTGTCCTTTCTCTATACTGGTTCTAACACAAACATGTCTGAATTTCAAATATACGTCAATAAACTTTCAATGTATACCTTTTCAATAAACAAAAAACTGAATTTATTTTCATTAAACAACACTAATTGAAGACAACACAAAAAAATATAGAGGATTCATTCGTCTGAAAGTTTCAATGTATTCATAGTATTGTCAAGTTCAGATTTGCTAATTTCATCGTCATAACCCATTGTGAATGTGAAGGAATAATTATGTTTTGAACGTCGAATAAATTGAACTTGTGTAAAATTCACGCCGTTCACACTTAAATGTTTTATTTGACTGAAAAACGTTTTTCCATCGAAATTAACTTCAGCACAATTACTTATATCTGTTGTTGCTAGTAGTGTATCTTGAAGTAATTTGTTTGAACCAATAAAACTATCGCATTCACTTTCCTTCATTTCTTCATCTGTCAATTTCGAAACCACTGCATTAATATTTGGATTAAATTTTCCATTTTGAATACCTAATTGATATTTACTGAAGCCAAATAATGGTATTACGCTATCACTTGTTATATTAAAAATTTCACTCAGTGATCGGTTGTTGTTAGAAAACAATGGACCAATAGCAACTTGGAATACTGACTGTAATTCATCATCAGTCATTTTATACCATCCATCAGGCTTTT